TGTTTCTATATAACTAGACACGGGTATAGTTTTATATGATACAAAATGGCACTTAAGGACCAGGAGGGTCTAAAACAGTTCCAATTAGTTTTACCTCCCAATGTTTGCTGACAAACCCTGAGTTGCATAAATATAGACATTTTATTTCGTGTTACTATAATAAAGAATTCTTTAAAAGATGGCCCCAACATAAATGCTCTAAATCTTGCCATTTTTACTCTCACAAATTGAGAAAACATTATTGAATGGCAGCTTAGTATTATCTATGAAGGATTTAAAAATACCCTTTTGTATGACTTGGAAATCTCCTTTGTAGGAATTCATGCTTTACATGTATTCTTCTTACACATTTACGAAGATGAGCAAGGATGTTCTTCATACCTATTTTGCTATTTTTACTAGCAAAAGAATGGAAACAGCTTAATTATTCATCCTTAAAAGACTGCTTAGCCAGTTATGATACTGCCCTGTGATTGTTAAACTATGGCCGTGAAACAGGAGATTGAGATCCACTGGTATGCCATAATTTCTAATTTCTAAGACAGTAAAGCAAAGCAATGTCCATTCTTTTTCAAAAGAGTATGTACTATGTTGCATTAGTTTTAAACAGATATTTGTGATTTATTATGTGTAAAATCTTTGTGGCAGCAGAGACCATGGATCTGCAGTGGAATGGTTTCCTTTCTTTTCTTTTCTTTCTTTCTTTCCTTGTTTCTTTTTTGTCTTTTTTTTTTTTTAGAAAGGGTCTCATTGGGGTCTCGCTATGTTTCCTAAGCTAGAGTGCAGTGGTGTGATCATAGATCACTGCAGCCTCTATCTCCTGAGTGCCAAGGATCCTCCTGCCTTAGCCTCCTGAGTAGCTGCTGGGACTACAGGCGTGGGCCAGCACACCCAGCTTGGAAATGTAACTTTCTTTACATTTTATTTGCTTTTGTATTCAAGTTTTATACCATGAGCATGTATTACCTTTTCAGCAATAATAACACTACTGGAAAATCTAATTTAAAAGTTTCAGTTAAGCAGCTGATTTAGAAAAGAGCTTTTTAAATGAATAAATGATAGCCACTTTAAATCCAGTAAATGCTGTGTAGTTTAGGGCGTGTGATCATTTTTCATGTAAGTTAGCTTGCATAAAACAAAACAACATTACCATAACACTTACTGAAAAACTATTAATTCCTCTGGAATGACATTTGGCATGGGCAATATTCTAGAGAAAATGGGAGATTTCTCATTTTTTAGATCTCTTTACTGTTTGATCCTTTTATAAAACACAGAGTGCATTGTTATAATAAATACTTCTTAAACACTGTGAAAATGTTAATAGCACTGTACTTTTTGCATATTCGCACAAAGACCTCTACCACTCTCATTAAAGTCAGCCTGTGGATTCGTACATGCACATGTTCCGCCGTCGCCTGCGCTATGCTCGCTCTGTTGGGTTGCGTGCCCGGTGCCCTGGGCCCAGCCGTCGCCGGCCTTCGCGCCACAGCGCCTCCCCACCCCTCCACCCCTCCACCCCCCACACGGGTCTGGCAGCTGCTGCAGCTGGCGCCCGGGCGGTACGCCTGGCGCTTCGGATTGCTCAGTGTGCGAGCCCGGGGTCGGTGCGGCGGCCCGGCCTCCTGCGGCCTCCTGGGCCCTGCCCCTGCGGCTGTGGCGCGCTGCACACCGAAGGGGACAAAGCTTTTGTTGAATTTCTGAGCGATGAAATTAAGAAGGAAGAGAAAATTCAGAAGCATAAGTTCCTGCCCAAGATGTCAGGAGGTTGGGAGCTGGAAGCGAATGGGACAGAAGCTAAATTAGTGCAGAAAGTTACTGGGGAAAAGATCACTGTCACTTTCAGCATTAACAACAGCATCCCACCAACGTTTGATGGTGAGGAGGAGTCCTCCCAAGGGCAGAAGGTTGAGGAACAGGAGACTGAATTGACATCAACTCCTAGTTTCATGGTTGAAGTTATAAAGAACGATGGCAAGAAGGCCCTCGTACTGGACTGCCACTATCGAGAGGATGAGGTTGAACAACAAGAGGAGGCTGAGAGTGACATTTTCTCTATCAGGGAAGTTAACTTTCAGTCCACCGGTGATCCTGAATGGAAGGACACTAATTACACACTCAACACAGATTCCCTAGACTGGGCCTTGTATGACCACCTAATGGATTTCCTTGAGGACCGTTGGGTGGACAACACTTTTGCGGGTGAGTTGGCGGAGCTCAGCACAGCCTTGGAACACCAGGAAGGAGTACATTACTTTTCTTGGAGATCTTAAGAGTTTCGTCAAGAGCTAGTAGAGCATACAGGGACACTGAAAGCCTTCTATGGCAGGCTTTGGCCGGTGAACAAATCCTACTCTGAAGCCAGACCCATGTGCTTTAAAATGGTTATCATCCTACTGTCATGGAAAAAAATAGCAAATTTAAATTATTTCTTTTGCATTGTCGTTTAGTATTCATTTGCTTTTTTTCTGTACAAATCTAGATTTTCTTATAACGTAATGATGGACAATAAAATTGATTTATCTCCTCCAAAAAAAAATGTCAGGCTGTGAATAAATATACTGTGACTGAATAGTAAAAATGTCACAGTAAGGATTTGGGAGGATGTTCATATAATATATTGTTATTATTGTCAAACATAAAAATAGGCAATGCCTAGATCTGTTTTGCTTTACCTGAAAGTAGAAGCAATTTGCTCTTCCTTTGGCTTTGGTCAATGAAATTATGAGAATTATGAAGGGAATTTGGGGAGCAGGAGAAGAAGAAGATGTTATAACACAAGTTCTTAATTTGGAGAAAGTGTAGATAACAACAATGGACCAAAGCCATCCAGGGAGCATTTATGACACCTACCATGTGGTCCAATGGAAGAAGTAGGCTACATCTTTTGTACTGCTCATGAACTGGCACAGAGATAAGATATAAAAGTGATTGATAAGCTATTTCAACTATCCAGACATGCAGAAATCTTGTTCAACTTGTAATGCAGCAATTGAACATCTCTTGACTTGTCTTACTGACAATTTCATATCATAGAGAAAACATCTTAAGGGGAGAAACTCTCCATGTTGCAGAATTATCTGGATTACCACAGAGTATTTAACCTCCCTGGTGGCCAGTGACACAACCCCACGTTTCCAAAAACAGAAAGGTCAAACCCAGTTGAGAATAATGACAAAAGGAACTAAGGAGGCTACTTTTAAGTTAATCTTACCACCAAAGACAATAGATTGGTAACACAAACATGGAGAAATTTAGGAGAAAGCAACTTCATTATATCAAAGATTGCGATTTCTAGGAAAATGAAAGACTTACTTACTAGACAAAGTTACCACAAACTGTGTCCCTAGGAAGGTCTGTACAAAACAAACAACACTGTGGCCAGAATGTTTGTGAAACACCACATACATGCATACATTGGAGATATTGCATGTTCTGTCCCAATGCAGATATTTACTTTCAGTGCCTGTTTGGTTTGAAATGCGCTTTAAGTAAAAAGTCAATATAGAATCCCACCTGGAATGTTGGCCTTTATCCAACTACTTTAATGATTTAAATTGTGTAATATAGCTTTGTGCATCCATGATTGAACTGGTTCTTAGGCCAAAATTGCAAGGTTCACAAAAATTTCTGAATCCATTTACTTGTCAATTTTATTATTAAAGAAAAATAATTTTCCACCCCCAAATCTGGTAGCCAAATTAGGTTTTGTATCAAATTAGTAGATCACAGCCAGGCATAGTGTTGCAGTCCTGCAGCCCCAGCTACTCCGAAGGCTGAGGAAGCAGGATCTCTTGAATACAGGGATTCCAGACTGCAGTGCACATGATCCTGCCTGTGAATAGTCACTGCACTACAGCCTGGACACCATAGCAAGACCCCATCTCTAAAACAAAAAAGAACATTAGTATATTATAATAAATAAATCTGAGCTATTGAATCAAGTGAAAATTCAACTTCTATCCAAATAATATTTATAGATTCTGTTGTGCCCAACAGCTACCACTTGTTCCCATTATATTCAGGTCTTAAATCTTGTTAACAAGAAAAGGTCAAGAATAGAAATTCCAGAATAATTCACGCACAGACCCCACTACAACACATTTGAAGTGTCAACTAAAGGCATTAATTGGGCACTTATACTGTAATAAAGTACCCTGCAGGTCCCTGATTAGTGACCTTCAAATAAGATGCTCTTTTGAGGAGAGCCAATATATTTTTGTTTTGCATATAGACCAAGGAATAGAGCCTGCTCCTACCTCCTGACATTGACTGCTCTGAATCCTAGCAGAAGGCATTCAGGAAGAAGGTCCTCTTAGCAGAGATCATG